CATTAATAAATAGACAGCTTCATGAAGACCAAGGAACAAAGCAGACAGATCCATGATAGTAAATTACCTGCTTTATTGAGTCCTTGAACCCCAAAATGTCTCACACGAAATTCAGCCATTTACCCATTCATATACACATTCACATGGGGATGCTGGTAAGTCACATTGTAGCCACAGCTGCCCCGGACCCAACTGACTGAAAAGTTGCTGCAATGGGCTCTATGCACAACTCCACCACCTCCTGAACTCAAGGCAGCTCTTTTGTTTCCAGTCTTTCATTACTGGATGAACTGATTAGTCCAGGTGTGCCTGACCTCAGCAACCATGACCTGACACATCTGGATTAATCAATTGGATACAATTGGTGCCACCAGGCCCTCTTGCCACCAAAAACAGGAACCATGTTTCCCTACCTCTTGATCCATGATCACCCTTACACTAAATATGTGGAAAGGTTTAAAGCATTATTAAGTAATAAAACAGTATACAAAGCTAAACAAATTCGACAAAGCACTGAAAATCTTCATCTGAATATATGAAGAATACAGGTCAATTGGATTAAGCTTTTTGCCTTTAAAATGTTCTTTAGAAGTTCTGTTTAAAAGTTCACCGCAACCCAATAGAATCATGGCGCACATATATGGCAGAAGGAATTTTTGGTCAGGTAAGACCAAAAGAGTTAAGCTTTATCCTCATTTAACAAAAACTGAAAACCACCATGAACAGACTTTCCATTGTGAAACATGATGGTATCAGCACCATACTGTATGGATGCTGTTCGAGCAAGCAAAAAGCAGGAGAGGGTTGCGTTGGGGTTCTTATGAACTTCCTGAGAACAGCTTGGCCCCACTTCTGCTCCCCCAGTTTGGGATCAGCATTATGATTGGCTAATATTAAGTGGGTTTTAGGTAATTATTGGTTTTATCTTGCCAAAACCAACATTTAACATGGATTTAAGCCAATAAATGTTATTTCTTTAAATAATGGGAGGATTTGGCATTGATCTAATCTCTAGAATGTCCTGAAAAGTCATTGCTTTCAACAACGAACCATTTTATACATTGAGAAATGTGGAATATAGAATATGAAGCCGTTAGGGATTAGTGCATGTTTGGCTGGCCTTGGCTCTATACATACACTGGACCTGCCTGATTTATGCACTGATGTGTCCCTCTGGTCAAGAGGCAAGCTGCATTCCTGAAATGAAGCAGATGTTTGGGTGCATTTGATTCTGTCTGCCTATCAAATGGAGATTAACATTACAAACGCTAAATATTTACTTCTTTCTATTCAAATGGTAACTGATTAGACCCAGTGCACCTCTCAATAGAATCAATGGAGTGTAACCCCCCTTTGCTGAGGAGGAGTCGGTTCCATGGGGAATGATGGTTGGAGCTGACAGCAGGTGGAATGTTTCTGGAAACATACCTGTGTGCTGCCAGATGAGGGGTGACAGATGAGGACTGATGTATCACCTGTTGGGGTGCAAGTAGGGTTTCTCTAAAGGTCAGGTGGAAGTTGAGCTGAGTAGGTCAAAACTGGTTATACATTCTAAGTAGGACTCATATCCTGGTACTTTATCCTGAGAAATAATGCAAATTTTCCCCCAAAAAGGTTATTTTCTGTGTTGTGATACAACATTGCTAAAAAGAAGGAAACAGTTATCAAAGCCTCAAATTCCTGTCACCTCAAATAACTGACAAAAGAAAGACCAATCACCTTGGAGAAGCTGTGACCCATCCCCTTTAGTCACATGATAAGGTCCACCATTTGGTAATCACCACCTACAGTAGTAGGTCCACCATCTTGATCCATGTTGACTCTGCATCAAAGCACCCTCCCCCCTTTATCTAACTAAGTTAGTTGAATGTAGTTTTACTGAGGTGCCACAATGCTATATTGTTGATTTGTAACATTTTTAAACAGTAACCATTGTAAGCTGAATTAAGTTACATTGTTTTAACAGTATATATAGTTGCATTTATATCTGCTGCTATTTTTTAACTGAGATTAATGACTGTATTGACATTTGGTCTTCCTTATAAACCCTTTATAAGCCATTTCAACGGACTCTTAGACACCTTTTCCCCCTCTTTTAACTTATTCAGTTAGCCTACCTTGTGTTTTATTTTGCAATAGTGTGTAGTGTTTGCATAGATGTTAGATTTTTGTAATCATTAAATTGGTTTTACCCTTAATTTTGAATGATGTATCCATTAACTACAAATCCAGTTCTAGTTAATTATACAGTATATACATTCATATTCTAGAGATAAAATATCACAACATCTGCATGGGTATTGGTCCCCTCTAAAAAGAGGTGAACCAAAATTGAGTTCTTTCCTGGTAAGATCTGAGAAGATGACCCCCCTCTCCCACTAAGTGGAATGAGGAGGTGGTGGAGGTCAAGTCCATTCTTATTCATGCTAGCGAGGGCTTTGGGCCTGGTTTCTCTGGAGGATTGTCACGAAAAAAAAAATGTATTGTTAAAGATACAGAGATTCAGCTTCAAGCAAAACAATATCCCAGAATATATAGCCAGAGCTATCAATCATTGAATGATTTAGAAAAAAAAACCTTATTCCTGTTTGTTTTGCACAGTGTGTATCTATATTTTGACCCTAGGGTGCATGCTATCAAATGTAAATTAAAACTTTTCTGTTGACAATAAATGTTCTTAAGTGTTTTTTTTGTAAAGTGATCTTTGCAATGCATTGACTATGTGGGATTGAATGGTTATCACTGTTTTTTTATTACATAAAAAAGAAAATCATATGTCCATTTCCACGTTCATGCCATAAATATGATCTACCCTCAATTATATAAAATGCCAACAGGTAGTAGTATAGAATTGAAATGTGAGAGAGTTTGCAATACTTTTGCAAGTTGCTAATTGTGTAAGTTTGTGGGAAAAAGTAAAAACAGGAACAAAACTTTCTAAAATTATAAAAATGTTAAGCCTCAGCCTTGAGAAATTGTGTTAAAATGAACCTTTGAGTTTTTCTTTTTCTACATGGCTAAGGTAAATTTGGCAACAATGTTAGCCTTCTTCCAGAAGGATTATACAGGCCTGGCACAGCGATTCTTTGAAGTTTTCTTTTTCATCGAAGAAAGAACATTTTAAGCCATAACATGAACACAGTTTCATTTCCAGTTCCCTCTGGGGCTGATTCACTGCACTATGAACCTAACTGGGTCAATACAGGACTTTTACGGTCTCCCTGAAACCACTCCTGTGTTCTTTTGCCAGACGTTTTAAGGAATGCTCAAAAGATTTCCCAACAGTTTCTTTTTTTCCCAATATATTTCTTATTCTTCCCTTTTATCCTATCTCAAATCCCCATTGCAAGAAAAAATCCTGCTTTTCACTTGATAATATTGAGGGGTTGCTGCAAAGAAGTTGTTAGGTGTATTCGAATAGTAGCACATTTTCTTAATCTGCAAAGAAGACTTTGATCCTCAAGTTATGAAATTGTCAGAGGAAACTTTGGAACCCTGAGTGGTTTGCCTATTTCATTTCTTGAAATTAAGTTTCTGTCTTGCTGATTTAAAATAATGATTTGGTTTTAATGACTCTTGCTTATAAATCGTCTGGGCCCAAGCTTTGAGCTGGCCTCTGATATATTGTTATTCAGATGGAAAAGTTATGATTTTTTTTATTAATAAATTTAAATGTCTTTTAGCATACACATAAAAAATGTACATTATAAAAATGTGAATAAAATTTTAATAAAATGTAAATTGTACTTTTCCCATGACATGATTAATAAAGGATGATTAAAAAAATAAGCGTAATCATGCTTTACCTGTTGGAAAACTTTCCGAGATTCTAGAGTGTGTACTGTTGGGCATTTTGCAACCTACTGCTCTTTGGTACATGTCACCCACTGGTTTTGAAATCATTGAAAAATGAAAGGCAGCAGGTCAATCAATCTCCCAGTTTATCCCCATCATTCATCCAGTGGAGCAGAAGAAAATTTAAAAATGCAATCACTTAAGGCATTCTCAGAGATTCAGATTTGTACATGTGCATTCACCATATGTAAATAAAAGGGTAAACCCTTAATAATTAGCAATCAGAAATGCTGGAGACAAAAAAAACAACAAACCAGTTTAAATAGTGATACACCTAGTTTGGCAAAACTGTTCATATTATTTAACATTTTCCACAATTTATTTGGATTTTATTTTATAGATTAATCAGAGTATCAAGTAATTGTAAAGGGAAAGAATAATCATGCTTGCATTTTAATACTCTAAATTACAAATACATTATTTTCTCTTAAACCATGTGAGATTGGGTGGTGCTAGTGGATGTCCTTTTTTAAGTGTTGTTAGAGACTGAGTTTAATTTAAATCTGGAGTTTGACTAGAGCAATCTAATAAATGAAAAAATTTGCTTAATGCTGCCATGTTTCACAGTGGTCATTGTTTTTTAAAGGGTGATGAATGTTAATACTTTCAGTGCAAACACAGCAGTTTGTTGGGATCAAAAGAGTTGAAATTCTATTATATTCTTTGAACAATAGCTTTTTTTTTGCCAGTCTTCCATAAAAGAGAATGCAATTTTGAATGCAGAACTAACAGTTACCATACTGACAGAGTCTACAATACTTTGATCCTAGTCTATACTTTTTTTCTTGCATCCATCAGTGAGCAGTGTGGTATTCCTAAAGCGGAGACATTGAACAATTTTAAGACCTGGTTCTCGCCTTGCATCCTCTTTGTTTCCCAGTTAAATACCTGTGTAATTGCACACAGTCTCATAGGGTTTTAAAGAAATGAATTTCTAAACATACAGAAAACATATGGTTTTGTTTTATGTGGATCTCAAATTATTGACTGGGTGAGGTTTATTTACTCTGAGAGAACACAAAGAAAAACAATATTCTTCAAAAGAGTAAATAATCTAGTTGCATTATGTTTTTGTTTACTTAGCAAATAAAAACTTGGCAAATGGTACTCATTATGTGTGTCTGTTTCCTTTTGTTTGTGCACAGGCCCCTGTCATCCGAACCCTTGCCACAACAGAGGAACGTGTGAGATCAGTGAGACGTACAGAGGCGATACCTTCATTGGTTATGTGTGCAAGTGTCCTCCAGGCTTTAGTGGAGTTCACTGCCAGCACAGTAAGTAGTCTGTCTTTAATATCCAAATCCAATGTGACATGAAACAAAAAAGATAAACAAAGGCTGTTTGTAAAGATGTAAACCAGATAACATATGTCCTTTTGATCAACGACAATTTCAACTTAATGAATGACAATGTGATGAGAATAAATTTTAAGCCATGAAAAAAATGGATTTGCTTTTGAAAATTCAGCTAAGCACAACATGAGGTTATAGTAAAGTGTAAAACTGCACTTGATTTCCTTTGTTTAGACTAAGTAGCTTATGTCGTAGTTGTACCAAAACTATGATGAAACTGTTGGTAAAACAGGCTGGTAAAAAAAATACAAAACATACATGTTATTTAAAATATATATTTAAAAAGAAAAAAAAATGTTATCAGCTATAGAAATGATTGGAAAATAATCTGGTAAGCAGCAACTACGCTGTATGTCTAAAATTAGCCAAACCATTAATGTGTACATTTAACCCCACTGTATAAAATAAAATACGAGAGAAGTTGGAATGAAAGCCATATATCTTGGAATAAGGCTGCTTGTCATTCTGTTCTTGCTTCATTTTACTGTTTTGAACCATTTTCTAGATGGAAGCAGATGGTGTCCTCAATGTGATATGTCTGTGATTACACTGCTACCCTTTTCTCTGTAGTCTGATTGTATACTGAGTGTGTTTAGGTCTGGAAGCTGTGGCTTGATGGTCTGCTGGGCTGCATTTACCGATCGATGGAGATGTTGGCAGCTGGTAATCTAGGCAGTAATGCGTTCTGTAGGGTTGCTGTACTTGCTAAGAAAGGGCATCTTTCCTTGCCTAAGATTTGGAATTCGTAGCATTTTAAATCATATCTTTAATTGTTTTTGATTGGCTGATTAATAATTGTAAAGTATTGTAAAAAAAAATCATGAATTTTATTAATTGATAAATAAATAAATAAATAAATAAATAAATGTTTTATAATTTTTTTATGTCAGGAACAGACTTCTGCAAATGTGTCAGTATTAGGTATGAAGCTAGTTTTCAAAACGTTGTCCCTGGGCAAGGTGTATAATGCAAACAATCAAGAATATATATATTAGACAGATTTTATTTGTCATTTTGTTTACACAAGTGTAAAAACAAAAAGAAATTTCATTTGGAAACAGCTATTTTTTAAAAGTGCAGCCTTGAAAAATAGTAAAAATGACTGTAAATTTACAGTTCTAACATTATTTAT